TAGTGAGGTACTCCACCTCCCCTGGGGGCACCGGAGTGTCGGCTGCCCAGGCCTGCCAGGCCAGGTAGGTTACTGCTGGCCTCCCTCCCGGCTCTGGGTCCCCTCCTCCGGCCACGTCCTCATGCATCCGTGCTCCGGTGGGGTCCTCTGTCTCTGGCTGGGGGTTACGGCTCAGCCCGTCTGCGTTCATGTTGATCAGCCCCTTCCGGTACCGCACTTCGAAGTCAAACTCCTGCAGCATCAGGGCCCACCGCGCGTGCATGCCGGTAAGGTTGGGGTTGGTCATCAGCCACTCGAGGGGACGGTGGTCGGTGTAGAGGATGAAGCGCGCCCCGTACAGGTACACCCGGAAGTAGCGCACTCCCCACACCGCAGCCATGCACTCTCCGGCATAGCTGGAGTAGTTGCTCTCGGCCTTGTTGTTGCTCCGGCTGGCATAAGCCACCACTCGCTCCTCCCCGGCGTCATCCCGTTGTTGCAGAATCGCTCCGCACCCGGCCGCGCTCCAGTCTGTGTGCAGCTCGAACTCCTTCTTGGGGTCCGGTCGTACCAGGAGCGGTGCTTCGCACAGCATCGCCTTCAGCCGGTCCACCGCTTCTTTGCACAAGCTGCTCAGCTCCTCCGGGAACTCCACGTCCTTCTTCAGCCGGGTCGTTGAGCGGCCGGGACACCGCGCTACACCCCGCCAGGAACTTGCGGTAGTAGTTGACGATGCCCAGGAACTGCTTGATGGCGGTGGGGCTGGTTGGGTAGGGGATCCGCTGAATGGCCGCCACTTTGACGGCTTGGGGCTTGAGCCCCACCGGGTTGACCATGTGGCCCAAGAAGGGGATCTCGGGGAAGAGGATCCGGATCTTCTTGGGGTGCACCTTGATGTTGTGGCGCCGGAGCTCGGTGAAGACTCCGCGCAGGGCTTCCAGGTGGGCCCGGAATCCTCGGCGTGGACGATGGTGTCGTCGATGAACGCCCGCGCTACCGCCCGAAGCCCCCGGAGTACGCGATCCATCAGACGCTGAAAGAGCGCGGGCGCGTTCTTGGGCCCGAAGGGGGTGCGCAGGGGCATGTACAGGTCGTCATGCCTCCAGAAGGCCAGCTTCCACTGGTCCCCTTCCCTGATCCGGATCTGGTGGTACCCCATCCGGAGGTCCAGCGTGGAGAAGCAATCGCTCCCCCCCAGATCGTCGAACAGCTCGTCCGCAATCGGCATTGGGTACTTGTCAGGGACGGTCTTGTCGTTGTGGGGCCGGTAGTCGCCGCAGATCCGGCGCTCCGTCCAGTTGCCCTCCGCGTCCTTCTTTCGGGGCATGACAGTGGCCGCTGCAAACGGCTCCTTGAAGCCCGGGGGTAGTTTCAGGGGCGCAATGTGCTTGGCGGCCAGCCTCTCCTCCACGTACGCCTTAAGCAGGTCCGTCTCGTACTGGGAGTAGCGCCGTTTGGGGGACCAAATGGGCTTGTCGTCGGTGAAGTCCACCTCGAACTCCACCCCCTCGATGGCGGTGTCGCTCAGGTCGTAGATGGACCACGCGAAGATGTCCCGGAACTCCTCCAGGACTTCCCTCACCTCTGCGTTCTGCTCCGGTGTCAATCCCGGCCATATCTGGTCGTCTCCCCACTCAAAGGGCTTCTCAGCTCCCTTGGCCCCGAACTGACTTGCGCCCTTCTCCTCCGGTGCTGTTCCCACAGCTGCTGCTTGAAGCTCCGGTCCCAGCTGCCTCCCGCCTGTCTCCAGGGAGTGGAGCTCTTCTAAGCCCTCTTCCCCTTCGTGGCTCTCCCTGTTGATCTCCGGGGCAGGTTCCCGGCGTTGCTCTTGAACTCCCTGGTCGGGTGTTGGTGGTTTGCCCCCCTCCGGGGGCAAGGCCCTTTCGGACTGCCCTGGCCCTAAGGCCGTTTGGGCCCCACCTCCTTGGTTGACCTTCCCGGGCTCTTCTCCGGTTAACCCCTGGGGCTGGTCACTCTTCCTTCCCTCTCGCTTCTCCGCGGTTCCCTTCGGCTCTCCGGCTTTTGCAGGGATTTTCGTTTTGGGATCTCCGGTTCCCTGTCCTTTCCCCCCCCCAGCTGCGTGCCGCTGCTTTGGCGGTCCGCCAGCTTGTTCGGTACTTGCGGCTTTTGTTGAGGGTGAGTCGGAACACCCGTTGGCCGGGGGGCGGTTGTTGCGCCCCTGCGCGCCTTCATTCGTCCTTGTTAATGACCCACCAGCGGCGGATCTCCTTGCACAGCCAGGTGTATGCGCGGACGTCGATGGCGCTCCCTATCAGTCTCCGGCGCTCAGACTCGGGGATGTTGTACCCCCTGGTCGAGCCCGGCAGCATCCCCATGATCCGCTCTCGTTCGTCGGCGTTGGGCTCCTGCCACTCGCGGACGTTGCGGTCGTACACCATCCCCGGCCCCGGTTGGTCAGGGGCTTGGAAGCGGAAGGCGTAGGAGCTTGGGGTCGCCACCAGTGTTGGGAAAGCTTGCAGAGGCTCCCCCTTCACGTTGAGACGGTAGTACCCCGGTACTGCGGGGTCGTCTTGAGCCGCCAGCTGTACTGTCCGGAAATTGTCCAGTGCGCCCTGGGCGTCCAGCCGGTCCCACACCTGGTCGCGGTCGAACTGGTTGTATCGCTCCTGGATGTCGGTTGCGCGCGCCAAGTTTGTCCAAAACACGCGGGTCCGGTGGGTTGCCGCCCCTAGTTTTGCCGCGTCAAGCCGGATGCCGCTGCCGGCGTAGCCTCCATTGATGAGCTCCATTTGTTGGAACCCCCACCGGGCTGGCGGGCTTGCGTGGTCGCTCGCGTCTACCATCTCGAAGATGTAGCCAGGTTCGATTGACCACGGGCGTTGAAGGCGCTGGATTGTTGACAGCACGCGTAGTGCCTCCAGGTAAAGGCTTGAGCGCGGGTCCTCCAGCCCCCGGGCCTGTCGGTTGGCCCGGGAGAAGCCCTGGCACGGCGAAGACACCGTCACCAAGTCGATTGGGTGCCGTGCCTCGCGCCCGATGTGGCGCTCCAGCTCCAGTTCGCCGATGTCCCGGATGTCCCAGGGCAGTGCTGTGTCGGTGGAGTGGTAGGCCAGCTCAGGTAGTTGCTCAGGGTAGGCGTGGTGAAGTGCCCGCAGCCGGTGTCCGAAAACCCTCCGGCTGACCGGGTCGTTGTCCACGTAAAGGACCTTCCTGACCTTGACCCCGGCCTTGAGTAGCCCCTCCAGTTCCGCCCAGATGCCGCCGAAGAACAGCAGTACGCACAGCCACTTGTCGTCCCCAAACATTCGGGTGTGGTTTTCGTCCGTGGCCCAGATCATCTCCCCCTCCCGGTACG